GGCAGGAAGGAAGCTAACTTTTTTGCTGTTGGCAGTATGTTTGCCACAAACCTCTGTAAAAAGAGACAAAACAGTTCAATGATGTAATAAAAATTTTTAAGCATGTTTGATGAGGGTGATAAATCAATAAGGATATAACAAAGTCGATCATGTTGAAAGCATGAACATCCTCAGTAGAGCCACTTTGTAGCAGTTAGTTTGAGTTAAATATCTTATAGAATGTCTTATATGTTGAGTTAATTATTTTATAGAATCTTATAATAATATAACATCATAATAATAATAAAATATATAGTCCAAATATTCAGGAACCTTAATACATTAGGTTAATACATTAATACATTAAGGTATGTTATGCTAGGGATCATGTCTTGAGACTTGAGAGCAAAGTTACAAATACAAATCTAAATACACTGACTTGTCAAATGATATTCCCTTTTTTCCTCATCAAATTCAAATTTTAATCTCTTTTTTAAGTACTTACGTTCTCGATTCCCCTTTAGGCCTAGGCTTACTCTCCATCTGGGTGGCACAGTGGCGCAGTGGTTAGTGTTGTTGCCTCACAACTCCAGGGTCAGGGGTCGATCCTAATCTTGGGTTACTGTCTGTGTGGAGGTTCACATGGAGGTTCCCTGTGTCTGTTTGGGCTTCCTCCATGTTCTCTGAGATTGAGATCCAGTGAGTTTGCAGTCAAAGTGTACCAGTATTTCATCTTGCTCATCAAAAGTCACATACACATTTATTTTTACAGCATTTGGCCCTATGAACCTTTACAGCAGTCATCTGGCCCTTTTTTCACAGGTTACATTGATCAGCTATGGTATTTTATGAGTGCATGATTTAGTCTGGTGAAGTACTTTTTGATATGCAAATGATCATGACAGTTCAACGAATATGTAAATGAGCCTAAAACTCATGTACCAACCACTAGGTGTAGTGCTACCTTGTGCCCCGTGTTCCCAGGATAGGCTACAGATCCACCGAGACCTTGACCAGGATAAAGTGCTTACTGAAGATGCCTGATTTCCATGCTTAGAATTCTGTGGCCGCACTGGTCTAATTCAATTGATTCCTCTTTCTCACTCATTTTAAAAATTACGATAGTTGACACATGAAAAGTGCTTTGTGGCCGCAAAGCGGATCTTGAGAAACTTAACTCATGGTCTGAATATATTAATTTGTGGAAAACTTTATTAAAAAACAACCACCTCGGCGTCTCTGTACAAATCTGATGTATATGTATATAAACAGTAGAGACCTAGCTAAAGCTGCAGAATCTAGTAGTTCTTTAGTCAGTGGGATGTTGCTGGACACTCTGGTCACCTGTAGCACAGCCAATAATAAAAAATATATAATCAGAATAATGAAACTTCACACTGCATTACATTTTCATTCATCACTGATCTATCTGGTTTTGATCTACATCTTTGACATGGACTGTAAAACCTTAATAATTGATGTACCAGCACAGACAAACCCTCTTATTCTTGAAATGCACAGCTCTGGATCTGAAACATGTGAGCTGGGTCTAAACATGTCATCTGTCTCACAGCTGGGTATTTTAAAAGGCTCTTCTCCTGCACTTTTTTGACAATATTTGTCAAAATGTTCACACAGTCCCTCCTAAACCCGAGGACAGTCAGTTCTCCTTCACTGCTGCTGGCTCTACTCTCGAGTTCCTGAGTATATAAGATGGACTGCATAAATGGCATTTTACACAATAAACAAATGTTTGTTTTGCTTGATATTTCCTTCATAATACCATTAGGACTGCTACTGCTCCAAAATGATGTCCAGTGATCATTGATACTGACCCTGAATTTCTTCTGTCACATCTAGTCTGATCAGTTGCTGTGAAGTGATGTCTTACAGCTGGTTTGATGAATCTCTTTTATTAAAAAAAAAATAAAAATATGTACTTAGACACAATCTTTACATTTGTCATTACTAAAATAAATAAAAATAAATAAATAAAAACAGACACCATTTCATGACTGTAATAGAGAAGACAGATTGTGTTCCGGTGTCATTTACATACAGTGCAGTTACAGAATAGAAATTAACAGCTACCTTGTTCAGTAAAGTCAAATCTTTGATGATAAATGGCATAATGAGTTCGTCAGTCTGATACTTGGTCAGGAAGGAGGTAAAGGCCCTGGAAAC